AATAATAATAATAATAATAATATAATAATAATAATAAATAATAATAATAATAATAATAATAATAATAATAATAATAATAATAATGATAATAATAGTAATAGTAATAATAATAATGAGGGTATAAGTGATATATGCCTACAGGAATAACCACCAAGTAGTTGAACACTTATATCCCACTCTGTGCTCTGCAAAATAAATTTAAATTCTTGTCCAGTTCTTCATCACCAACTAATTTCCCAAAAAGAGGCCGTTATTCTATCCTAGCCAGAAAAAATGGAAAAATAAAGTGGAATAACATTCGGATAGTTATGGTAATTAGCATCACAACCCATAGCGAGTAAAGTTAAATGAACCAAAACAGATGAGCAATTCAACATTTTTAATAAATCAATTTGAATTTGGTACTGAAAATAGCTTAACTTTACAGACACAAATGCTATTTTCATCGCTAAGAATTCGTTACAACAGAGAAGGGGAGAAGGGGAGGTTACTACATTACTACATTGGAAATTAAAAGAAATTTACAGTACACTATAATTTTATTTTAAATTTAAGATATATATCAAATAATAATAGATTTGCAACTTCGCAATTTTGAAAGCCTAGAAAATTGCTAGTTCGATCTAGATACTCCAAGGTTTGTAAATCAGGAATAAGTGTCTTGACGAAATTGCTGATATATCGTTTTATGAGCAATTGAAAAAGGTCTCTATTTTGATTTAAACGAGTGGAGTGGATGATACAGCATAATAATGACTTTTCTTATAGCCATGGACTTTGGTCCCATGGTCCTCTCAGCACTTAACAAATAAAAGCCGTGAAGAAAATGCCTAAGGTTTTCGTTTAGGTTTTTTAAAGAATGGGTAGACAAGGAAGTAAGTTAGTGCTAACTAAATTGGTAAAAATGGTCGAACACTTTGTTGAAGGCTTGAGAGTGACTTGTACCTTTAACCTATTTAAATATGGAGACCAGCAATCAAGTTCTGCAAAGCATTTTACATTCGTTCCTGTCGTCGTCGACGACATTCTTGCTACCCCTTTCATGTACACACAAACATTCTCTGCTGCGACGCACGTGAACAGCAACAAAACACATGTACTTTCCGCATAATTTATGTCGAGCAAATGACACGACAACATTTTGGGATTTCCGGATGACTAGATCAGGAAAGCATTGCATAATACCATCATTTTGTTTAAGGGGGCAAAATCTTCATTCTAATCTCTATGGAGAGCTTATAGGTCAGTCTTTTGCTACTGTATCTCCATATGTCCACAAAAATTATAGGGGTCAAATCAATTTCGTTACTTTAAAAACGAAAGAGAAACTCGCAAATTCATGTTGTGACCAGCTAAACATAATTTCACTGATATTTGAAGCATTTTGGTGATATATTTGATCGTAATTATTATAAGTAACACTTTCCTCCCCATCATTACGAGTATATGTGAATTCATTGGTGCAATGGTCCAATATGCAAAATGTTCGTCCATGTTCTCTCACTGTTCCCTCAGGCCAATTTTTCACTATCTTCTAGTTTTTCTTTCAGAAATTTCCAAAAAAAAGAAATGGTTTAACAAAATTCCAAAAAAATTTTCCGATTTATTGATTGAAATACTCTTTTGCTTTAGTGCATCCTTCACTCCATCTCCAATTACACAATACATTACATGCGCAAATATGGAGAAATTGAGCAAGTTATAAGTGTTAGATTGCTATTTTATGGTTGAAAAATATGCCCTAAAATACATGGGATCTCCTTTCACCTTATAAATAATTAAAATACATCTTCGGGCCATCACTTTTTTATAAACGCTGTCATTCGAACTGATTGTTTTTTGACCTTTCTCCTTTTCTTTTTTCAAAGTTTATCCTTCTGTAGTTGAAGGATGCAATCTGAGAGTGTTTTCACTGTGAGTTTACTCCTCTTCAGTTGATTGAAACTTCATATTCCTTATCAAATGCTTATCACAGTGACTGATAATGCATAAAAAAGTTGACCATTTTAAAGCTTATATGTTAGGACTACCGGAAGAGGTTTGGAGTAATTTGTTAACAGACTTAAAAGCTAATTGACCTACACTACTGACTCTCTCTCTCCCTTTCCTTCTCTCTCAAAATGAGTAAAGAAGGTATCACAACAACGTAGGTTGGTTGTACGACAGAGTAGTGGCATTCTTCTTCACGACGAAAGAACTTTGTATTGATCGTCAACCTGATGGACTGTCATGCAGTACCCATCCAATTCATATCTAAATCATCAACAACTTTAAATACTGTTCACTTCTCTTACTAACTTTGTCAACGACAGAAGTTAGTTCTAATATGACGACAATAAAATGAACTAATTTTATATTTACAATCACATTAGTTCGAATTCATACCACAGCTTTCTTGAAAAACTCATTGGAATTTGGAAGAACAGCTCAGTGAGATTCTTATTCTACACTTGAGTGAGTTGAATCTGTGCGATAGGATGAAATCAAAAAAAAAAGAAAAAAAACTAAATCAAATTTGTCCATGAAGAAATGGACCAGTGAAATTGTTCATTAATCATTTCAAAAACTGACTCATCCTGATGCCTAGCAAAGAAAACAACGATCCACAAGTCATTCCCAATTTTTCCACCATCAGCAATTTCAATTCGTACTGTGTCTACTTCCCAGCTTCTCTGCAAATGATAAACAATGCATAATATTCGTGACCGTCATCTTTCTTTTGCTATCCGATTAACATTTTGCAGATTTATGATCATACGTAGTAAATTTGAAACATATATTGACTTCTGATATATCATCATCTAGAAGATTAACAGTTAGAATCGGGTTATTTAGTGTTTCTCAGGTATACATTTGTAAAGAAGTTATTGCTGTCGTAGTGAAATGGTACACAGTTTTCACGTGAAAGGCGTCCAACTTTCCAACACTACCCGAAGGATAATTCTAGTTTTCCAGACTCTTCATTGAAGCAAAAGTTGGTCTGTTTTTATGCTCAACACAAGACTGTTACCAGGATGACTCTATTTGTCGCGAAAGTCGCGAAAAACTAAGATAAATTTAAATTAGGAATG